TCTCGTAATTTCCTCCTAAAGAGGATATTAAAATACTGATAATAATTGAACACCCGGACGAAACAAAAATCAAATAATAATAAATAATTTAGTAACGAGCCGTTAATTAAATTTGCACGAAGCAATTTTTGTAAGATGAAATCGAGGAATTCAAGAATTATAAGGATCCAAGGAATGTATTGATCGGTCGATCGTCCAGGGAGGATCTTTAAAGATCCACGGCATTTCGGAGACGAGCGCTCCGGCCGCAGCCAAAGGCTTCCTGGAAAGCGCCAAAAAAGGTTTCGCGTTCCAGCGGAGGTGGTCCGTCTAACGATCCAGAACAAATGAGGAGTGCAATTGGCAAAGGACGTTTCCTTAATGTTCCACGATTCGAGAACAGCCTCGCCGAGACGTGGACTCTAACGATATTCGTTAGTGGAATAAGGATGCCAATTGCTGCGTGGCGTGTCACAAAAACTGGCTCGGTCTAATCAATTAAGTTAAACGATTGAAAATAGCGGCTCAATCGGTCCACGGTTTGATCGTCAAGCAATGATCCTCCACGCAACGGCAATTAGCCTGTTAATGCAATCAGTAAATTGGCGCCAATGTCGCGGTCGACTGCTTTCCCACAAAGTTTCAAACGGAAGATCGGCCCAATTACGTGTTAGAGCGATAATTGGTGAATTTATAGTCCGGCTCCGTCTCGGTCGCCCAGTTGAGCGCGATCTCCTCCATTGGTCTGGGACGAGGAATTAATTGTCTAATTATCGTTAATGCTCTGGCCCTCGGATGGACGGGAGTCTTCCTTAGGCCGCTTCACCTCCGTATCACCGTACGATGTTCCAATTTAGTTATTGAAAAATGTATTATTCAAGGAAACAGTTAAGGCAAACGTTTGTCATTTGTAAAAGACGCAGTCCCTGTGGGAACAGGCTATTAATTCACTATAGACGAATTAGAAATGGTAATCGACGTTAAGAGGGGAGCGATTAGCTTCGCAGGACTAGACGCTCCTCAAATTAGTTGGTCGCTGTATGAACGTCCGCGGACAGGACCGCAGGTGAATCGGGAAGGGAGAGGCGACGCACACGGACCCAGTGAGGCAGAAAGAGAGGCCGTGTATAGAGGACAGAGACGACGAACGGAGGGTGAAATAAGTGGGAGGCAGCGGCCTTAGGGAACATCACAAAGCACCCGGGCAAAGCGCGTCTCCTCGTCGCTCCTGCCTTTTGCTTTATTTCACTTCGTTTTTAATTCCCCCCAATTCCACTGTCAAGACCCGACCGCGCCGCGCCGCCACGAAAAACCGTCACGAGATTTCGTCCCTCCCATACCCCTTCATCTCTTCTATCCTTCTACCCTCGATTCCCGATTGATTATGGAATCGATATGTCGAGCTCGCAGACGATCTCCTTAAGTTTTAATTTAACGACGTTTGAATAAAGAAGACTCAAATCGCTCTCGTGGAGTCTGTGTGTGACAATTTCGTGATGAACGTATTAAAGATAACGGAGAATCATTTTTATCGTGGCTTCAAGGGCAGAAGAGATTTTTTATAATTTGCTTCGGAAAAGGAAACGCGGTTAAAACGAATGATGTTGGAACGAAATCGACTGCTAGGTTCGTCGTGGGGCCCCGTAGAAACTTTGCTAATGTCATTATAATGGCCCGTCAGGACACCCGATCATTTGTCTCGAAATTTTTGAGAAAATAAAGAAACCCGGGGAATTGTGTTCCTCTGGATTCCCTCCGCTAAACTGAGGAATTACAGGCAAAATATGACAATAATTTCTAACATGAAACAGTGAGATGTACTTGAGAAAAGCGAATGATAAAAGCTGAAAATTGTATGCATTTATAAAGAAATTAAATATGCAGAAAACACAAACGACGTTACGTTTGATGTACATAAAATAATATCAAAAGCTGAATTGGAATGTTTGAATGATAAAAGAAACGTTTACCTGAAATACATTTTTTAAATCGAAGCCATAAATGTTTTACTTTTGCATAAAAATTCGCAGTCTATTGATGACGAAATTAATAAATCAATGCGAGGGAAAAAGTGGAGCCAGCTCGAAGATCTAGAAAAAGATGTCAGAACGGATCGAAGGATCGATTTCGGTATGAGCCGCGGGACCCTCGGGCGAAAGTTGCGAACCTGAGGGGGAACAGCTGTCGGCAACCCTATCCGTTGCCGATCGTTTATCGGGCCATCTCTCTGCGCGAAAGGGTGCTGCCAAAAAGTTCGCCACCGTAGAACGGAGCGACGTTTCCAATTCGCGTCGCCGCGGATTTTTTGTAATTAATCCTCGCCGTGCATCGCGACGGACACACGTTCGAGTATAAGGGAAGGAAGAAGCCGCTCGGGAGAAGGACTGGAGAAAAAGACGAGCCAGGGGGAGAAAAATGAAGAACAGATAGAGAGGAGGATACGAGGATGAAAGGGGGAGGGAATGGACGAAACGAAAGGGAATAAGAGCGAGAGAATGGAAGAGAGAAAGAGAGAACAGAGCCGATGAGCAAGAAGGGGGAGAAGGAGAAGGAGAAAGAGAGGAAGAACGGAGACCAGTCTGGCGCGGTGTATCCGGTTTTTGCGGGCGTCAGATGACAGTCGCTTATTTACCGGGGCCCGCGGCCATCTTGCTGCGATCTGACTTAAGGAGGAGGCCCCGAGCATCGCGGGGAAAAAAAAGAAAGGGGCGATCAGAGAGATCCTGTGGCTGAGATGCAACAGACCGAGAGGAGGCGATGGACGAGCGGGGGACTCCGCTCGAATTAATCGATCGGTTATCAACGTCCCCGGGATTCGTGGAATGGAAGAAATATGGCAGCCGATGCTGTACTCATCCGAGCTGCTGCTGCCCGCCACGGGACGGCTTGTATGATTTCTTATTGTTCCTTCGCGGCTGGAATTGTTACCCTTCGGTTAACGACGCTGCCTCGTTTATGTGTTCCCCCGGCTCCTTCTGCTTCCCAGAAGCTTTCTCTCTGACATCATTTGGAACGCGAGAAATTTCTCCAAAATCAAATTCTCTGATTAAAAAATATAGATGCCTATTTATCATTGACTAAATTTATGCACGGACTGAACTATGCGCTGTATACATGTGTGTCATTAATTATCTGGACCGTTCGACGTACCTAGGAGATGAAATTAATTATGCCCGCGCGTTGTAGTACGAGGCTGTCCACCGTGGAAGCCGAGGGGATTCCAGGTAACAGATAAACCACGTAGGAGGAGGAAACGCGAAAGCGGCCGATCCATGGCGGATAGTGGCCGCCGTGCACGCTTTAATTACCGCTAATTAACATGTTCCTGCCAGCTCCAAAGTCAGCACCTTTTACGGGCAACTGCTTCAGAATGCTCGTTCACCCGGGAAATAAACTCGATCATTGTAGCTTCAATAATCTTTTTCTTATCCCGGAATTCAAAGCATTTAGCGAACCGTTGTACAATTTTAATCAATGTTTCAAGTAAAGTTCAAAGTAGAAAAAATTGTAATCGTTGTTTATTTCAAAAGATTTGATCAGACGAAACGAGGAACAATGAATCTAATAGAGATTCAAGACACATACATACATTCGCGCTACAAATGAAACTCTCTGGCACCCACGCCAGAGATCTCCTTTCATTTGTTATCTCAGCTTTGCGTTTGACTCGCCAGTTTCTCCCCATTGTCTGCCACGCGGAGATAATTTTGTCCCTTAGGCCGTTATCGATAAGTCTTGTAACTCACGACGCGCGCAAATTTCTAAGACGACCCGTGAATACCTTGGATGCATTCTGAAATGATGTTGGTTTCTCCTTATGAATGATCGAGTGACCTTGGTCACTAGGATCGCCAGGAGGTTTACGAAGGGGTTCGAAGGAACGAAATGGTCAACATTTGTTTGGTACCCACCCCGCTCTCCCCTTACTTCCTACTTCCTCACTGTCTTCTACCGTTTTTTCCTTCCCACCACTCTCTCCTCCGCCAGGAGTTTCTGTTTTCTTTCTCAGGAGTAAAACTCGAGGCGGAGGAACTTTTTGTCGGCCGTCTGAATCCTCCCTTTCGCTGTCTGGGTGGAAATCAAGGGATCCACGATTCGTCTGAATCGATGATCGGTGGTAATTAATCTTTACATTAAAAAATTTTCAACCCTCTAGCAGAGTCGTCACGACGACATATTTGAAATTACCTCTGGAAGCACATTAATCAAGCGATTTCTAAATCGCTGACCTCGAACTAGGTTCGAAGTAGAACAGGCAGAGTACATGCTTGCACGTTAATTAGTTGTCGAAGAGTTCGAAGGCGAGGCAGGAAAGACTCGGGCACGGTTTCTAGGTGGTCCCGAACGCCCGAGTCATCATTGCCTCATTTACTTTGTAAAACAATCTCGCCGACAGGACACGATCCGTTCAATAGGCCTAACTACATTAAAACTTACCACCACGTAATTAAACTTCCTCTTAAATCGTCTGACCGGATTCACGGTAATTCGCGAGACGCGTTAATTAATTAACAGCTGCTAATTTTCGAGACGTACGAATATCTCTGATCCTTGCGTAAGAAATGAAATGCATCGATGTCTCTTCACTTCACGATATGATATATCTGATTTCTATAACCGATAACTGATTCACCGATATATCCGATTTCTATAATAATGAGATTTGAAGTCTTTTAAAGATGGTTGGATTATAAGAATTGAAAATATTTCTAGCCCTGGCGAAATTCGAGATGAAGGATCATCGGGCTGTGCCAGATTACCTGCGAGTCAAGCTCGCAAGGCTTTTTACTTATTTTCTCTTTCTAATCCTTACAAATACCACGGCAATCAAGCTTTTTCCCTAATTCGTATTACGAAGGACCCGCATGCGAGACCTAATCTTGACGAAACGCGTCGCGTTCCCTTGCGGCTATCTGTTAAACACTTGTGTGCTTTATAAACAATCCCAATAGTTCCCTTTAATCCCTTAGAAATGTCTCGGTGGACGAAACATGGTGGTTGAAAACACAAAATTCGTTACCTTCTTTTAAAAAATATTTGTTGTCCTGTTAATTGTTTTATTTGCTCTTTATTATTTTACTTACGTTGCTATAATATAAACTGGACGAGAAACTATATAATACGTTATCCAAGTGCAGCTTGAAAAGAACCGCGGAGGCTACGAACTTATGCTTAAACCTAAAAGGATAAATTTACAGGATGATCCATAGATTTACAATATGTATATTGTACATGACCAGTACTACCGTGCCTCTGTTTTATTTATAGCTTCTACGACGAACAGTAAATTATTTCTATGATTCCTCTATATCATCTCCGACGCACCTATCTGTAACCATTACTTACGCACCGATAGTGGTACGAGATTGCAGATAATAATATCTCGGAAACGAACGCGGCGCCACCCTATTAGCTGCCACGGTCTACTTTTATTCAAATAAAAAACCATCAAAAAATTGTTGGAGTCCACAGAACCGTAAGCAAATCTCGTGGAAGGTATCTGGCAGATAACGGGTTCACTAAAATGTGAAGAAGCGAACCGCCAACGCCGGCGTTTGTAAAACACACCATATACTCTTACATCGGCACCGTAACGCACTCTCACTCGTTCCTCCATCACCACACCCTCGTGCTATACGTATAAATCTAAAAGTGTTCAAGATCGCGTGAACTTGAATAGAGTCTTTCTCTCGAACGAACCGTTACATCATTTTTCCAGTAATCCTATCAGCACCTTATCAAACATGACAATATATAGGTACTCCACTCGTTTGTCTCCAAACTTGAGGAGGAATGGTTCGCGCAAATGACAATTATAAGAGAATAAAAAAAGTCTTCTGGTTTAAAAGGAAATGAGTTATGTTTTAAAGAAATCATCAGACGTCGGTCATTCAAGAGACCACCTCTCCTCAGTACTCGATCATACACTCTCCAACTGTAATTAAAACATGAAGCTATTACAAAACGGACATCGAATTGTCTTTGGATATCCTCGATCGTCGTTCATTCCACTCTCATTCCTTCTCCCCGTTGCCTGTGCGTAAAATTAGGGTAATAACAATAGAAGACAACAGCTCTCGTGCACTTACGCCTTAATAACATCTCCGGTAACACGCCAGTCCATATACAGATTGATATACAGATATACACTACCGGTCAAATGTATCGAAACACTATCAAAGTTTTACAAATAAAAATGCATAAAAATAAAATATGCCATGATTATCATACGCGGCACGAAAGTAATTCGCAATTAATATGATTAAAAGATAGGTCCAAACACTTGGCCGATAATGTATTCGCATATAATGTACATATATATTATATAGTACATATCTATATATATATATATATATGATAACTCGTGTACAAAAATATATTATGTTAAATCGACTATCATTACTGAACGGCCCACCAGAAAACAATTTGCTATTTCCTTGATTTGCGATGTCACAAATCAACTCGGTACCAATTCCGTTCCTAAAACAGTAAAACACGTTATCAGACACAAATTGAAATCAGATTAAGGATGTATTGGCTATACAGTCAACCCCCAAAAGTTTATGTAACCTTAGAAAAACGCATTTCCTATAATTAAAAAGAAATCGGACGTCGGAAGAATAATGCTAATAATAAATAGCTACGTGCTAAAAAGTGTAGAAGGAAATATCCAATTAATTATTGACGCCGGCGACAAAAATTTTATATCTATAGAAATTGTGGGCACTGACGTCTTC